CGACAGCGCCCGGGGGCTGCCCAGGCCTAACTCGCTCGGCAGGAAGCCAGCCTGTGTGGGGACAGGGACAGCAGGGGTGGCGGCCAGCCAGGGCGCCCTGGGCCAGAGGAACTACAGGGCCAGCCCCAACCTGATGCCCCAAGGCCCGGTTCCCCAGCCCCCAGGTCCGTGTCTCGGTCGGGTGGCCTGAAACACCCGCTGGGTGCGGTGCGGTGCGTGTGCGTGCTCGCCCCAAACCCTGACAGCAGGAGTGAAGAAGGACAGACTGCCCGGTGACAGGACACATGGGGCTCTCTGGTGACCGAGTCCTTGGAAGACAACTGCCCTGAAGGCCACTGTCCCCGGAGCCCGGCCTCAGTCACACTGAGCGGCACCCCGGCCCCAGGCCCCGGGGAGCACCCGAGACCAGGGTCCGAGGTCCAGGCGGGCTTGCTGTGCTTTAGAACACACAGGTGCCTGCAGCCGCCTCGCCTTCCCCGCAGAGAGCAGGGCCTGGCAGCGGGGCCCTTGGGGACACAGGTGACAGGAGGGCCTGGTATCTAGCAGGTGCTTGATGGCACCAGTACCGCCCGGCTCGGTCACAGTGCAGACAGGCCCGGTGGCTGCGCTGTGTGTGAGCCTCAGGTGGGCTGGGGCCGAGGACCGCAGGGCGGGGTGACGGAAAACCACAGACCGGGCAAGGTCGGTGACCCCCGTTAAGGGCGAGAGGCAGGGTGGGGGTGTCTCCGCACCGACCCCAGAGCCGCGGCCACCTGCCCACCCTCCCGCCCGTCCCGTCCCCCCAGGTCTGAGAGCTGCCGGGGCGCCCTGCACCCAGCACAAGCCGCCGAACTCGCCAGGCTGTCCTCCTGGGACAGGCTCGAAGACACGGGCCCCGCTGACCCAGGGAGCCCACCCGGCTGGGTCTGGCTCACCCCTGCCATCCACCCTCTCGGGGAGCCCGTTCCATGGCGCCCACCAGGCTCCCCAGGGCTCAGCCCAGCCCTCTGGTCAGCGGTCAGTTTCCTGCAAACCAGAACCCCTCCCCTGCAGATGCTGATTCTGGACCCCCACCCCCGGGCCAGGGTGTCCAGAACCAGAACCTCACGTGGTCAGCCACGGGTCCAAACCCCGGCCGGTGACCGGAGGACGGAGCAGCCGGGACCGGGCCCGGGGGGGGCCTC